TCACACCTCCCTTTTCCGTATTCCAATTTCTAATTTATTTTGAGCAAATCCTTCCACTATTTTGATTAATTTTAATATTGCTTATTTTCTTTTAAATTAACCATTCCGCTACTGACCACTTATCCTCTAATCCCCCATCATTTTAACACTGGTTAATTTTACCATATTTCTTTACTTATTACTCATAAAACATCTTTACATATTCCTTTCAACTATGTCACTAATGCCGCACTATCTTTATATCCTGCATCACTTTAACATTCAAATAATTTACAATGTTTTTGCAGATAGTCTTTAAACTTCTTCCAATCTTCTTCCGTTTGTTCTTCTCCCGTATCTCAGATTCTGCCAGTCATTTCTGCCAGTTCCATGTAGTCGATCAATTGCATCTGCCATTCTTCCAGAGTGGGCAAATCTTGTGTCTTCCCAACACCTAACATTTAAGATGCACCTAACAATCACATAGTAAATACCTAACCCTAATCCTAGCCTTTTTATTCTGCCTGCATCTCTCTGTGCCTGCTTCCGTTGATCCCTGGTTTGGAGTTTTTGGGTGAAACTTTAGGGTGTGCCTGGGCACACACCCCTGCACACACCTATGGTGTCTGTGGGGTGTGTGTGATAAGATAAAGAGATTTGCAGGGAGGAATTCATAGCATTCTGAAGATCTTTTGTCAGCTCCTTGCCGATGGAGATAGCAGTGTGGCATTTGATAATAGCCAAACGTATGTTTGACTGTCAGCTTTCACTTCAAATAAGAAATCAAAACAAAGGGATTAACTTCTTGTTGCTTTGAAAGTTGTTGCTTGCAGAGTGGAAGGACTGCCTTGTGTATTGGAAGTGGCTGAAACTGCAGCCGTGATCTTGCCCAAACTAATTACAGTGGTACCTCGGGTTACATACGCTTCAGGTTACATACACTTCAGGTTACAGACTCTGCTAACCCAGAAATATTACCTCGGGTTAAGAACTTTGCTTCAGGATGAGAACAGAAATCGTGCTCTGGCAGCGCAGCAGCAGCAGGAGGCCCCATTAGCTAAAGTGGTGCTTCAGGTTAAGAATAGTTTCAGGTTAAGAACAGATCTCCAGAACAAATTAAGTACTTAACCTGAAGTACCACTGTACTGCAGTTCAGCAATTATTGGATGAACAATTAAAAGTAATTAGAGATGAGGCTGATAAAATGGTGAATGAAAACAAGACCAGACAAGAATGAAAGAAGGTTTGGAGAACAATATTGATACAGGATTGCCAGAACAGGAGAGTGAAATGGTAGAATTGAGAGGGAAGAGATGGTGAAATGGAAAAATCCTTCACACAGGTGTTTGGCGGAATAAAACAGCCAAATGGTGGAGCTGTGATGCTGGAGCAGTGCAATGGATGGAGAGATGGAAATACAACCTGAGCTGGCACCAACAGAACTAAGATAAGAAAGGGATCTACTTCCCGTCTGCAGCAGGAGGCGAAGAGGAGAAAGTGCCAGACACTGGAGGCATACCTCTCTCTACTCCGCGCTTTGGCTCCATGCTTTTAGGACATCGGGCAGCCTGATGCCCCCCCCCCCAAAATAGAGGGAGGTGGGCAAAAGGGCTCAGCCCCTAGAAGCCAGTGCTCCTGACAATTTGTAGTCATATACTGTACTGCATCAGAGAGATGCCGGATAGACAGAGAATGAAAACTGGTAAAATTGTAAACACAGCAGTAAATTTTAATGTGTTTTTTAAAGCAACCATTTGGATAAGAATGTTCAGCACCTACTGCCTCCACTGGGTAGTGAGGTGTTTGTTTTTTAAGCTTAAATATTTCCATACTCCAGTATGAAATCCACATTTATTATGAATAGCTTCTAGTATTCCAGTGATGTCATTCACCCACTAGGACCTAAGAGGCTCCAAGCACAACTAGGCCAATATTCTAATTCTTCACTTTAGATTATCAGTAAATTACTAAACACACACTGCACATTCATTTTGATGGCCTCCTGTGCTGTGGGATTAAAAATAGTGCCTTCCCCCCACCCACAGGTGGTCCTTTAAGCAGATTAATGTCATTTGTAATGGAATATCACAATACAATTTGCACATGGAGAGGTGTTTTCGAACCCTCTGAAGTTTGGGACTTTTGCTTTGAGCCTGAACAAATGCCTGACCTTCTCATTTAACAACCAGGGCAGGTGGGCTATCAGACAGATTCTCGGGGGGTGATAGAATCATTCTAACTGTGGGGATTCAAGGACAGGTTATACCGGACTCACAGGGAGCTGAACAAAGTGAGGCAGGAATGCCAAGCATTTCGACACAGCACAGTCCAGCAAGGCTGGTGACAATAGGACTGCTCTAACAAGGTAAGAAGAGCCCTGCTGAAGCAAAGTCAAGGGCTCGCTGTTTCGGTCAGGCGTGGAGTGTGGGAAGGCAGTGACTGTATGGGCCAGAGGTATACAGTCATGGACAGGCTGGAAGTCTGGTACTACACCCAGCAACAGGAACAGAGGTCAAGAGGCAGGAAGCATTGCCATGGATGGGCTGATGGTCTCATGTCAGACTGAAGAAGAGACACAAGGCACAAGGAGAGAGAGGTCCGTCCGCTGGACCTTCCCAGAAAGATGGGGTTTTATATATATATTTTTTTATATAAAAATTTTATTAGGGTTTTCTCTTTTTTTTTTTAGACAAACACAAAAACATCAACATACATATCAACACTACACACAAATAACACGTATAATTTTAAAACCTTATTTTCTTAACCACTTTCCTGGACTTCCCCCACCTCCCCTTCTTGCATCCCAATTCCAAAATTTAGCTCAGCAAGTTCTTTGTACCCAAATTATCCCTTATTAATATTTTACTTAATTCGTCTTAATTAGCCAATTTTAAACTTCTAAATCTCATTTTAATACTCGACATTAACCCCTTTTTCTAAGGTCGACCCAAGTTCCCTTTCACGAATTTCCCAATTATTAAAATAATTACAAAACATCTTGACAAATGAAAACATATGATTATACCCCTTTGGATTCCAAAGCTTTTCCCCCCCCTCCCCCGGTTTCGATCCCCAAGAATTGTGAAAGATGGGGCTTTATAGGGCCTGGGGATCTTCTCTGGTTTGGGAGGTCAGCTGATCATGTTCAGGCTGGGATGTGTGTGTGTCGGGTGACAGCATTTGGACCAGCACAGCAGCCTTCACATGTCCTTGCCATGTATAACCAGCCCAGAGCACTGGTGTCACAGGAGCTGAGATGCTGAAGATGCTGAAAGCCCTGCTTCAAGAGACAACTTGTTGTAGCATCCCATTTCTAACAGTATATTGTTATTAACATTAGCATTAGCCTCAGAGTGACTTACACTTATAAAATCATCCATGGTACAAAATTTAGAATAAATAGGTAAAGGTGTTCCTAATGTAATAACATAAAAAGGACAAATCCTACTCCATCCTGCTAAAAGCTGAACACCCAACACACACTTGGGTATCATTATATTATGTGATATCATATTTCATTATAATATGTAGTACAGTAGTCAGGCAGATCACTCCAGGATGTTGATAATGTTTCAACGGCTTTGGCTGTTAATTTTAAATATTTTTAAATATTTTAATTGCTTTTAACTTTTTTATTGATAATTTCAATATTTCTTGTGAATTGCTTAGAGGTTTTACTGAAGTCAAGCTAAATATAAATTTTGTTAAATAAATAAAATGAGGGCATGAAGGCAAGAGTCCTTCTCAATTGTTGGCCTACAACAGGAGTGGAAAATATGCGGCCCTTTATTATCTAACGCCACTCCGATCATCCCTAACCATTGGCCATTTGTGTGTGTGTGTGTGTGTGTGTGTGTGTGTGTGTGTGTATATATATATAAACAAATTATCTATCAATATAACCATTTACATTTCCCTCCCCCCTTTCCCCCCTCCCCTCCCCCCCTGCCCCCGGACTTCCCTCAGCTCCCCTCTCTGGTTTCTTTGCACATATTGTTCTCCGCATATTGTAAAATTGTACATATCATTGTCTTATCTATCATATATTCAACTAATAAATTTGTGTATGTTTATTCAAAATCTGCCAAGGAGTCCAAATCATTTTGTTGTCTTTTTAGATAATTTGTAAAAAGTTCCCATTCTTCCTTGAAGTCACAATTGTCCTTGTCAAGCAGTTTATATGTCAACTTGGCCAATTCCGCATAGCTCATTAGTTTTTCTTGCCACTGCTCTTTTGTTGGGATTTCTTCATTCTTCAACCATTGGCCATTATAGCTGGGGCAAATGGGACTCCACCACACAGAGTACCACATGTTCCCCATCCCTCATCTATAGCATTTGATATTCAAATGAATGTTTAAACTGAGCATAATTCTGTTTAAAAAACATGGTTAATAATCAGGGATAGATTTGCCATTTGAGAATTTGTGTAGCTTTCTTTTAAACCCAACAAACCGAGTGACCATCACTACATATTGTGGCCAGGAGCTCAAGTTTATACTGTGCTGTGTGCAGAAGTAATTTATTTTGTCTGTCCTGAACCTCCTGCAATCAATTTCATTGGGTACCCCAATTTCTATTATTCAAAACTTTGCAGTTTCCTACCCGTTTCCTTCTTCTTTGTCAAGGCAGCACTCCTCCTTCTGGAGTGATTTCCCCCACTCATCTTGCTGACAATTTATCCCTATTACTCTATAAATTAGTGTTCTATGATGGTCTGTGTTTGGTGTTCAATAATATGCATTTTTTTTTAGTCTGATGGAAAAGAATGGGGGAGGGGATTCTTGAAAAAAAGTTGTTTTCATGTGTTCAAAATCCTTATCCTTAATAGAACTTACAGGAGAAAACCTGAAAAGGTGGTCAGTAGACCAGTAAGTTCTTAAATCAAAACCCCTAAAATCAAAGGCAGACCCACATCTAAACATCTTTAATTGCAGCTGCTGTCCAGGAGATTAAACATATACCGTTTTGGGCTGGCTTTTTTAAAATTGCGTCTTTGTTTTTGTCTTTCTTTTCAGTTATGTGGCTGCGGTCTCTTGGGTGTGGGAATATGGCTGTCCGTGTCACAAGGAAACTTTGCCACCTTTTCTCCCAGCTTCCCTTCACTGTCGGCAGCAAACCTGGTCATTGCCATTGGTACTATCATCATGGTGACTGGCTTCCTAGGCTGTTTGGGTGCTATCAAGGAAAACAAGTGCCTCCTCCTAAGCGTAAGTTAGCAAGTGAGATAAACCACGAGTCAGGGGCTGGACTAGGGCTGGGCAATAGCAGCTTTGCAACATCGAGGTTTGGCAATACAATGCGATGTTGAAAAAACAAGGTGCATTGGCCTCTGCCCACGAGGCACTGGGTGAAACTGCCCCAGCTCTTACCTTGGGAACTGAGGCGGTTTCACCCAGGCGCTCATGGGCTGGACAACGCAGCTTGTTCCCCCTCCCCAGCTGAGACAGTCCCAGGGCTCTCCCCGCTCACATGCGGGCAGCAGGAGCATCGGGGCTCCTTAAACTGCTAAGCTGGGGCAAGGGCAGTGCACACTCCTCAGTCGAGCAGTTTAAAGATGCAGAGGGAGGAACAAGCTGTATCAGCACCTCCCCAATACAGCTTGTTTCTCCCTCTGCGTCGTATGAGGAGCAGACTGCAATGTCAGGTTCACTCAGTGGTATATCGCAGGTGAAACCACCGCCGCTCCTGAGTCACACCCGCTGGAGCAAGGAACTCTTGACACACCCTCCAACAGACGCTGCTAGCAGAACGACTCTGGAGCAGTGGTGGTTTCACCAGCGATATACCGCTGAGTGAGCCCGGCATCACGGTCTACTCCTCATTGATATATCCTATTGATATATCACCCAGGCCTAGTCTGGAATACAACTGTCAAGTAAACCATGGCTTAGCATGGCGGCAGCAGCAGGACGTGTAAAATGGCCAATCTTCTCTCCAGGAATCTGCATGTTTGCACTAAGTCATGATCATGCCCTGTAGAAAAGGTGAATGAACTTTGGAATGGTTCATGCATCAATGCAAGCCAATGTACAGTCCTTTCACAATACACAAGGTTTTTGTTTTTTGTGTAATACACACTTTCCCGATAAAATTAAAACAAAAAAGTTCACAAGGTCGCCTGAGAATAACCTTAAGAATTTCCATTTAATAATTTCAAAGAACATAAGAAAATGGTGATACATTTCAATGTTACTTTAATTGCAATATTTAATTATGTTACTAAGTATGTTACTATTTCCCACACTGCCATTTACATAAGGTATATTAAAGCTTCAAGTGATTGTAACATTCTTCTTTCTTTTGCTTCCGCAGTTTTTTATTGTTTTGCTGATCATTCTCCTGGCTGAGCTGATACTACTCATTTTGTTCTTCGTTTATATGGACAAGGTAGGTATTCACAGAGCGCCGTTATCTCAGAAGACAAGCTACTTTCTTATGAGTATTCCTCCCCAAGCTCCCTCCCCAGATAACTGGCATTAAAATAGACATATCAAAGAAGGTCCTGCAGAAAGGTGCCAATCAGCACATAAGAGAACTGCTGCAAGAACCAGGCAGAAGGGAAATTTAGAAGTCTGGCTGGCACCTTGAGCACGCCCCTGACTGTTTGGCTCCTGTGGAAGCCACAATGCTTTGAAGAGCACAAAAGAGACGGAAACTACACCAGGCAACAACCTCCTCCTCCTCCTCCTCCTCCTCCTCTTCTTCTTCTTCTTCTCCTTCTTCTTCAGTTTATCTTGTCCAGCGCAACCCAAAGTGACTTACAGCCAAAACAACCAACCAAGAAAGAACAACAACCACCCAGAGGATAAAGCAATACATTAAAAACATCCTGCCCACTTCTAAAAGGCCACAGAAGGAAGGTTTTCACATGATGCCTAAAGATATTTAGTGAAGGTGCCAGGCAAATCTCCCTGGGGAGAGCATTCCACAAATGGGGAGCCACAGCAGAAAAGGCCCGTTCTTGTGTTGCCACCTTCTGGACTTCTCATGGAGGAGGCACATGAAAAAGGGCCTCAGATGATGATCTCAGGGTCTGGGCCAGTTCATATGGGGGAGAGGCGGACCTTGTGGTATTGTGGTCCTGAGCTATTTAAGTCTTTATAGGTCAACACCAGCACTTTGAATTGTGTCCAGAATCCTGTTTGGCAATCATTCCAACACTATAACCATTGCACTGGTCCCAGACGCATGTCTATTGCAAAAAGACAAAACTTCCTTTTACTGAAATATATACTCACATATTTGTTATCTTGAGTAGGACATCTGTGCATACAGTGTTAAAATTATGCGGCAACCCCCTCCCCCCAAAAAATGTTCCCCTTGAAGCTATTAGGAGAAGGCACCAGATGTGCTTTCCATTCAGCCTACTCTTCACATACCTTGGAGGATATTTTAACGTGTCTTTTAATCTGGAATTGTCACCATGTGGTAGGTATTTTATTTCTGCAAATGGCTTTCAGTCTCAGCTTGAAGACTCTGATATGATAGGAAGAGAGTCTGTTGCTTTCCCACACATATACATTCCTAATCAGATCATACCAAAAGGTTGCACTATTTATGTAATGACTGTGACCTTGTTGGTGTTTGTTTATACAAAATAGGTTAATGAAAATGCGAAGCAGGATTTGAAAGAAGGGCTCAAGCTGTACAACACGGAAAATAATGTTGGGCTGAAGAATGCTTGGAATATCATTCAGGCAGAGGTAATGACATGAACATTTTATTTTATTTTTTTGCAAATGACCCCCACACGCTGCCCTGTTAATAATGGGTTAATCTACATCTCATGGGACAGTCCTATTGTCTGAGGGGACATGATGCGATTGCCTTGCTGAAGTTAAGCAATTTTGGGTCTGGTGAATTTAAGCTAGGAGACCTGGGAACTCCATCTTTGCTGCGTTGAGTTCCATGCTGCAGAAAAAGGTAAGATGTAAATGTACTCGGAGGTGTCAGTCTTTCTAAGATGCAGATATGTCATGATTTATAATGAATTGCTATATGGTAGTTTGTGCATTGGCTCGTGTCGTTTATAACATTATCAAACATCCCCAAAGCAGAAAACTCTTTTTAAAAAAAATAATTATATTGCTTTTCATATAATACAAGAACAACATGCAACTGCAATGACTTGTCCAGTTCTTACAGTCTTAAGCAGTTTCATACACAGTACAAAGTACACAAGCTGTACTTTTATTTATGTATTATCAGTTCAGGTATCCTCCGCACAGAGATTCTTGTGTTGAGGGTGGAATAAAAGTATATTCTGCCCCATTTATAAAGGAAAAGAAAGGAACATAAGTCTGACCCAAAGTGTCTATCTTTGAAGTGGCGAATAAGGCATTCCAAATAGTATTTAAGCAGATTTCAAACGGGATTTCTATGGATTGTTTCCAATATTGGACTATTGTTAATCAGGCTGTTGATAACAGAAAAAAATACGAAATCTCTGCATATAATTTTACTGTTTAAATTTGAGTTTAACCATAACAAGGAGGGAGCCAAATAGGGTGGGAGGGCTCGCTGCGTAATTTTGGAATTAATGTGAAACACCTTTTCCCAAAAGAAGTAAACCAACATGCAAGTCCATCATGGATGAAAATATGAGCCGATCTCTCCACAGCCTTTCCAGCACAGGGGAGAGATTCTAGTGTTTATTTTGGCTAGATGTGATGGAGTCCAGTGCCAGGAAAATATAATTTTGAGAGAAGCCTCCTGCAAATGAGCAGAGATTGTTCGTAGGGATGGGCTGTGCCAAACTGATTGTCATTTATGATATCCAGTTATGCTCCCTAAGTCTTTTTCCGATACTGATCGGAGACCTCCTATATTGCCTGCGTATTGTTCTAAAAGAATGCTATAGACTGAAGATGTAGCTCCTTTTATGTCATATTTTGATTTGTTACAGAGACTCAAATAACGTAAGAGAACCAAGGCCCTTGTGTTCCAAATATCTTGCAAATGTGCATAATTGAAGAGATTGAAGCCGAGTTAACTGGGCATCATCCAACTTTTCTATTAGCTCATGCTCAGATTTGCTTTACGTCTAGAAAGAAAGTCACTTATGTGATAGATTCCTCTCTTTTCAAATTTTTAAAATTGTCCCTATTTATCTTCCGGTCGGAATGATGGATGGTCTAATAGTGGAGTCAATGGCGAGGGTCTGGGGGCCAAAACCAAGTCTTAATCCCTCCACACCGTCAGCACTGCCTTTAAAAATGGGTTTTGTATCTTTCTCCACACAGTCCAGGACAGTTTCAGGAAAAGAAGTGTCCTTTCTGACTGTGAGGAGACGGGGCCCTCGCTCTACACTCATGGAATGACATTTTGTCCCTAATCAAGGGGATCAGAGATTGACATGTTCAGTAGGTGAACAGATGACAATAAACAGGTGGGATGAGCTGAAAGTGGTGACAAATAAGGTTTGGGGTTTAAAATATACAGTAGTGATTTTTCAAGAAGCTAATGCTTTGCAGTTATCACTCAGACTTGCGCTTGCTAGTGTCCAAGGTAACACAGCCTTTTCAAAAATCCTAAAATGTTCTTTCCGTTCCAGGCTGCATTATGTCTCATCTTGTCCTTGTCTCCTAGATGCACTGCTGTGGGGTTACTGATTACAAAGACTGGTACCTTGTACTGGGTGAAAACACTGTCCCTGACAGATGTTGCATAGAAAATTCTGAAGACTGTGGCCGGAATTCCACTAATACGAATTTAGTGTGGAAAACGGTAATTTTAGCTTACATAATAATCTGGATTTTTTTCTTTAGTTTAACTTAATTTCTTTCCTTGTGGAAAAGGTATCCTTGCATGAACACCATTCGAGCGCAGGTATTAGGTACAGAGATATTTCAATTTAAGAGACTATTTTACAACCATTGTTCAGTCACCACTGTGACATAGGACATGGGCTGAAGGTAAGCAATGCAAAAATCTTGCTGAAAGTAAGCAGGGTCTGTGACTTCTAAGGGCTCCATCCTTTGAGGCCCCTCTGGGATATAATACAAAAATAGTAAAAACAAAATCCCTAAAAGTAAAAATGCAAGTCAAGTAGATTCCCATCTGGTATGGTTAAACAAGTCAGATAAACTGAAATTGATTTTTCTGCATATTTTGTTGTCAGTTAACCCTTCTGCTTTTGTATTATTGGTGCAAATTTCTTGGTCTGTTTTATTTATTTGAGTGCTTGAAACATTTTTCCCAGAGTGGCTTCCAAATGTGAGATTGTAAGCCTTGCCCTCAGGCTAGCAACCTAAAAGACATGACTCACAAGGAGAAGGGAGGGAGGCAGAATTGAGCACTGATGGAATTTGGGGGAAGGCTCCATATAAATTAAGAGGAAGGGCCAAAAGTTGCTCATCATTGAGCAGTGGCGTATTGTAGACTCTCTTATAGCAGGGTGGAATGGCTGGTGATGATGGCAGCTGAGGGAGAACGCTTCGCAGTCCCATCTTCTCCCTCACACCTCCGGGAGCCCCGTCAGTGGCAGAGAATAGTGCCGCCTCTAGTTTCTTTATACTGCCAAGTATACCAATACTTGTGTTTAAAATTCTTCAGAAACATGGGGGGGGGGGGAGAATTGCAGGGTGTACAGTGGGAATAAAAAATGAGTTGTGCACTGATGGTACAATCACTGAAAAAATACCCTTTATACAGAGCTGCAAATTCAGGCATACTCTGCAAGCCCACCTCTGCCTTCTTGTCCTCTTGCCTAATTTCTAATGAGACTCTTCTATTCAGCCAACAGATCAAACGTTTGTCACTGACTGAGCTTATAGTTTCTCAGTGAGAGGAAAATGTCCAGTAAGCCCTCCTGTTTTATCCCTGAGTGAGATATGTCATTTGAAGCATTTGGCTCTTGAGCCAGAACAGGTTGTCACGGTGTTTTCCTACCTTTTTTTACCTGGTGTAAGATTGGGGGGCAGGTGTGTCCCTTGGGGTAAGAGAAACAGGACATGGTAGTGGTGGAGACAACTGAGGCTGCTCAAAGTGCAAGTGAAACAGGCTGCTGCTCGACTTGTACCTCCTTACGAGTAACAGAAAAGCTCGAGCTCCCCTGGGGCAGCTGTTTTGCCGCTCTCACAACCTTTTGGTGCGCCTGTTGCCACAGCCGAGGTCTGAAGAGCTATCAGGGACAGCTAGGTCGAGTCAAAGGAAATTATTCATTCTGCCTTTGACTTTCCCCCTCCCTGCAAGATTCATAGATGCTAGGAAGAGTCTGTTTGAAAAGCAGTGGTGTGCAATGGCTGTGTTTGCAAATGTGCCTGTTTGCTGTGCCTGTTCATATGTGCAGCTGCGATTTCCAAACGCTGTGTATGTGGTTCATGTCAACATAAGCTTACAGAGCATATGTGGCAGAAGCGTGAGTGCATGTGCCTCCCGACAAGTGTGTGGATGTGTGGACATGTACCTCCTGATGCTCTGTGGTTGAGGTGGATGAAGAGAGAGAGGAGTGAAAAGAAAGCTGAAAGAGAGGGATGACAAGTCTCCGCCTCTGTCCATCCATTAGATCACAGGGCCCCATTTATACCAATTATTCTTGCCATTATGCCTTGTCAGACTGATATAATGGTCAGCATATCAGACATGGGAACTGGGAGACCAAAGCTCAGTGGGTGACCTCTCAACATCTCACAGAGTTATTCTGAGAATAACATGGTCAGGGGGACAGTCCCACTAAAAATAATATTATCATATTCTTTTCTAACGTTCCAAACTGACAGCAAGCAGCAATGTAGAAAGGAGGCGCCCAGGTTTTGGCACAAGCCAGCCAAAGTTGCCTTCTAAATAAAACACCCTGAGGCATTCTGCCATGGCTTTACAATCTGCTTTTTCAACATATAAAACAAACATTGGTGGTATCTTTAACTCGCTCATTTTTTAAATGAACAAAACCCATTTGGTCAACATGAATGTGTTTAAATATATTCATATTTAATATGAGAAGCCAAAACAGGCTTCATCACGATTGAGCAGGACAAAGAGTATGTATGAAGCTTTCAGGATTTGTTGTTGATACAACTTGAACTTCCCATCATTTTGGGATACTTCTATCAAAATGATTGTTTTTCTTTATATATTTTCAAATCCTTTTTCTCTTCCCCTTTCAGGGCTGCTATGAAAAAGTCAAGATGTGGTTTGATGAAAATAAGCATATACTGGGGACGGTTGGGATGTGTATCCTCATAATGCAGGTAAGTGGCTCATAGGATCCTTGTTTGGGCCTCATTTTTGCTGTGCTCCATGGAATAATGCAATAAATGTGACAGCAGAATGTCTAGCGTATCCCCAGTTGGTGTTTATGTTCTGAGCCTGTGACAGAGGTGGTTGAAGAAAGCAAAACAAAATCATCAAAGATAACTTGGACTTTTGAGTAGGTGTTTCTGCCCCCCCCCCAAGTAACAGTGGGGAAGGGGGGCTGCTGGGCTTATCAGCACCAGCCACAAGCCTTCAACATCCTTCCCCAGCCTAGCACACTGGACCAGTGCCCCCCACCTTTACACAGCCCTTAAACTCAAGAGAGATGGCTGTGTCCTAGCAGACCAGGCAGCCACCAGCCATGGGACTGGTGCAGAGAGGAGAGCCAAGAAGTTGCAGACAAGGCCCAAGAGGGCAGGCAGCACTCATTTCCTCTCCTTTTTCTTCTCTCACTGTTGGGGGAAGAAAGCTTGACAAGCCTTCTCAAGGCAGCCATTAAAATGTGCTTCAGGTGGCTTAGGAGAGAATCCAGGGATATGAGGTGTAATTATGTTTCTTCTGCAACCATGTCATCTGTCTCATTCCTACTCCTGGACCAGATGCTGCAGCAAGAGGTCCTGAGCCAGGTCCCTTTCTGCTCCCTATTCCAGCAAGTACTGATTGATTGATTGATTGATTGATTGATTTAAAATATATGGCAGCGGTGAAAAAGGCAAATTCCATTAGGAAAAGGGTCATAAATATAGGTGCCAATAAAAGAAATATATACAGGGCAACCACATTTGGATTACTTTGCTCACCACTTCTCAAGAATGATATTATAGAGCTGAAAGAGGTGCAGAAAAGAACAACCAGAATGAGCAGGATATTTTAAAAGTTTTTCACCTCACTGCAAACATACTAGAGGACCATCCCTACTGGCCAACCCCAACCCCCAGCTTCTAACTCATCTACCAGTTGTTAAACATTACTTTGGAAACATCCTATGTGTTTTTCTTGTGGCTGGAAATCTTCCTTGAGCAAGAGGTCCCGATTATGCAGAAGAACCCGTGTGCTTACAAGTCCTCTCTTTCTAAAGCTGCACAGGAGGCACGTGAGGAACGGAGCTCTCTTCAGATGTGTGAAGTGGGGAAATATTCTGGGGAATTTTATCAAAAAACACTTTGAGCTTTCTTTGAAGTGTTTCAATTTGAGAAAATGGTCTAAAACTGCTTTGAGTTTGCTTTGAATTTCACTTGCCTCAGACGAGTCACAATTCTCCTCTGTACAGCCAACCCGTCATGATAGTCTTACAATAGCCTTATGGGATTATTGTAAAGATTGCTGAGATTTGTGTGGTGTGCTAGTCCGAACCATTAAAGAGTGCCATTCAAATTCAAATTCCTGAATTATTCCCTCTGTTCTCTTTCAGATACTTGGCATGGCTTTTTCCATGACTCTCTTTCAGCAGATTCACAGGACTGGTAAAAAATACGATGCCTAAGAAACACTACATTGTTAACTGCGTCAGGACTTCTCTCTTGGCACTGCAGGTGCAGGAGGAAGAAAAACAAAGCTGAAAAGAAAATCAAGCTATACCTGCTTGGGACCTCCATCCTACCATCCATCACGTGACTAAGCACAATGTATTACTGGACTTCCTTTTTGTTTCTGTTCATTTACCATTTTTGCCAAAGAAGAAAGGAAATTTACTGAGAGCAAATCAGCTTTCTGCACTACTTTGTAGACCCACTGTTTATACTGCTCTCTAACATTATTTAAGGAACAACCTTTACTCTGCTATCTGTATTAGACCATTGAGGATAACCCGACTGGTGTGTGTTTAACTTCTAGCAAAAAATCGTTTCCATCTCATGGGTCACAAGCAGCTTTTGCCGAACATAATACTGGGAGACTTGAAAAAGCCACGCAAATGGAGATCCTGTGAATTTGAGCTGCTTGGGGTATAGGGTTTTTGTTTTTAAGGGGAATATCTTATTATTATCTTACTGTGTATACTAGAATTTAGTACCCTGGTTTATACATTTTTACCGTTTCTCTCCTTTTTCTTATGCTTTTTTTTCCCAGAGTTCTACTGTGCAGTCTTTGATGGATGCCATTTTTAGTGTTTGCAATTTATATCCAGAAAGAAAGGTGCAGCTGGAACTAAATGACTCACAGCCATTGTGTTACTCTCAGCTCAGCCCTGATGTCATGATGGGGCCTGGGTCACATATCACTTTTTAAGATACATGCCTAAGATTTTTTAAACGTACATCTAATGTGAGAATGAAGCAAAGCACGTTCGTGAGAGAGTCAGAACTGGCTGTGATCCCTTCAGGCCAATACTTTTGATAATTCTGTTAGTATGCATTTAAAAATACCACACCAGGGTTTTCATCTGTGAGACAGAAAGGGAATGAGCAGCTCCCAAACTTTGTGTGAAGGTAACTGCTACTATAGCACAATATGTAAAGGTTCCTATGAGCTCCCGTTACCTAACCAGAGGCAGCCCACTATACTTCTGAATGATTCCCTGGTTTTGCTTTTCCTCCTTTCATTCAGACACCATATGGGGCACAGTTGCTGCAAGGCATGTGGCTGGATTATTTGCTCACTCCCAGTCACAGAGAAAACAGCAGAATTACCTGCTGGTTAAGAGAGATGTGGAAGGGGCTCCTCTGAAGGGGGTGAATTTTAACACATTCAGGCTTTTTGTGGTTTAAGAATGAACTTTTTCCAGAAAAATTGTGCTTCCACTATCAGAGTTTGGGGAATTGTGTATTATTAAACCAGTACATGTTTAATGCAGATTGTCAGCCCTCTCCATCCTTCTAAGCCCTGGAGTCCTGTGAGTTGACAGGTAAGCGCTGAGGTCCAGCCTAGGTTATTTTTTTACAAAACCTTCAGCAAGGCCTGAAAAATCTCAAGCATAAAAACCGAACCTATGCATTGTTCTGAATCCTAATGCACCTTGTGAGTGTAGTAGTAAATTTTGACAGGCTCATCATTACAGTCCCCAGGCATGCTCCCAGGGAGAATTCAAAAATGCAAACAGTGTTTTGGTCCATTTTACCCAAGTTATATGTTTCCAGACAGTGAACTGCATTGCATCGGTTCAACTGGTAAAATATATTGAGCTTTAACAGTCAGCTGATATGCAACCTTTTAATTAGAAATGTAGACAATCTTGCAAATCAGTGTTAACCGTTTGAACTGCTGTTGTGAAGTAGAAACTGATCGAAAGAAATGAAAGAAATATCTAAGCGCTACCATTTTTCTCATTCTCCAATTCTTTCAATGCGGAACTGTCATAAACTTACTTGAAATCCACGTGCTCACCACACAGATGACATCCTTGGCAAGTCATGGAGATTTTAAAAGAGTGATGAACTGTGGAAAATGAAAATTTACATTGCCCCTGCTATTTAAAAGCCCTCTTACGTTGGGTAGCATAATATATTTTTTATTTCTATTAATGACAGTTCCTCCCATAGTTCTGAAACATTCACACAGGAGTTTTTGCTTCACATCTTACAACTTAAAAATGGACCTCCATGTTAAAAATAAACTGCGGGGTGGCCCTTTACAAAGTGCCTGCCTTATCAAGCTAATCAAGTAATAAAGATCTTCCAGGACTGTGCCATTTAGGCTGCGGATGGGGAGGAGATGGCATGTTCAAATAATCCCTCTTCTAAAATAACCAAAACTAATCATTCATACACATAAAATAGAATATCAGAAATGAAGCCTTTGTCTTGATATATAGACTGTCCAGGCAAATACACAATCCCCTGCCTGTTGCCCAAAGTCATGGAAATTATTTGCCGCTTAACTGTATATATGGGTCCTAAAGTGATCTGCATGAGAACACTGGTGTACAAATTTAAAGTCCCAAGCTGGGCTGTTCATTCTAATTCCATGTGTTTTGTGAAGCTTGAAATAAGGATAGCACCATCTTGCCCTGCAAGGATCGTAATTGTTAGTTTTTCTGAGAAACAGTTTCATAATATTTGCAATTATTCCAAACTTTGCATTTCAACAAAGGAGATGAAGGGGATGAGAAGCAAGTAAAGTGTGTGGCAGATCCAAATAGAAATGACTGCAAGGGGATGAATTTGGTGTTTTGCTCAATATTTTTACTAGGGATAGCTTTTGTTCATTTCAAATGCGTATGTGTGTCTTTGCACACAAGACGGCTGCTCTGCCTTCCATTTTCAAAGGTTGTTCAGAATTGCATCGCACATTGCACACTTTTTTGTCAACATTCCTGCATGTCCTTGAACATACACCTCTGTCTGTTACTGTTTCTTGCAGTAGTGCCCTCTCTTTGATCTTAGTTTCACAAGGGGATTTCTGTTTATTTTGCTGCTCCATAAAAAGAAGATGTGAATGGAAAAGAAAGCTGAACCACTTTGGTTGACTTGCTTGTAGTGTCGCTTCAGTTAGGTGTTGTCCTTTCAACTGTGCTTATTGGCCCCAAAGTAGCTGTGTAGCTCCCTTATTTCTGACATTCGCCAGAACTGACAACATTCTCTTATACTCACCCAGTCCAGAAGTGGATTGGACTAACCATCAGAGGGTACAGCTACAGGGTACAAGAACACTCACCATGAAAGCAATCACCACTCATATCAGGGGGTATGTATGGAGTATGCAGGGTATGTATGTACTCATATCAGGGGGTATTTATGAAGCATATGCAGAGTCACATGCTTCCTTTCTGGCTTGGTTACTGCAATCCAGGTTGGGGAACCTCCAGGCCAGTCTTGGCCCAACAATGCTATTTTCTCCAAAGCACACACTCCTGTCAATCACCTGGCATCACTTGTGATGTCAACTGATGAGCAGGAGGGCACAGTTCAAGTCTGGCAGGACATAATGTAGGAGGATGTAACCTTCACTCATCAGCTGATGAATGGGGGTTAAATTATGCTCCGTTTAGTTACAGGTACCTTCCAGGAGAAGGAAGAAATAAAGGCCTTCCCAAACTCTATGGCTGGATTGGTACTTCTCTGGTGAGCACCAGCCACAGGGCTGGCAAAGTGCTAATTTCTGCTCTCCATGTGGGGGGAGATAACAGACGGAAGCCTGCTGGGAATAGGTGTGCACAGCGAAACTGAGCAACATTAAAACCATCCAATGCTCCTTGCGCACAGCCAGGGAGAAGCTCTTAAGTGCAGGCTTTGAGAAGTTTGTATGATCCACACATTTCAAAGCACTGTCAGGTGCTTGGGAACACCATGCAAGGGATTTTGAAAAGTGAGTGAGACAACCTGCCTGTCAATCATGAAATGTCATGTTAACATCATGTGATTGAAAGGTAGGCTGCCCAATCTGTCGAATTTTCCTTGAGCAGCCAAGCCTGATAATGAGCTGACCCACGGAATCAAAAAGGTCCCCACTCTTCAAATTCTAAAAGTTTGGCACAGACTTACAGGTTGCTTACCAAGGAAGTAAAGGGAGTGTCCTGCTGTCTCCTCCTGCAGTGAGTGCTTTTGGCTTCTGTTCTGTCCACACTTGCTGCTCCCCGCTCCTTTTTTGCTTTCTCATTTCTGCTGTCTCTGCCCCTGTATCAAGGCTCTTCATGTGTACAGTTGTTCTGTGTGTACAGCAGCCTCAGAATGGTAAGCATTTATAGTGCATTTACATACTGTCAGGACTTACTGGTTCTCAGATAAAGGTGTAAGTCCTTGCAGTGATGTCTTGCTGATGCTCTACTAGCCATATTGGGAAACATTTTTTTCATTCATATTTTAAGACCTGAGATACTCAGATGAGGTTGCAAGAAGATGACTTACTTTTAAATTGGGGAAAATGGGACCACATGTATTAATAGTTATGTCTGATTTGTTCTGAGTTGGGATTTATGAATGGACAGGTGCCCAAAGTTGTGAGTGTATGTGTGAATGAGTGCTTTTAAAAGTCGTTTCCGTTATTAAATATTACGCCACATCTCTACCTCTTTCTCATTTTTACCATAGATTTTCCCTCCTCCAGTTAAGTTAAACTATTCCCATTCTCTCCCAAATCTCACATTCTTATGTCAATTAAGCAGGCATTAGAATAAAAAGAAAGAAAACAACACAAGAGGTGAATAATCCAGCTTTGTATCTCTGCAGTCCCAAGGAATACATCATTCCTCCATTTCATTTGCTGAGGCTTGACTTCAGAGATGTAGATCAGTATGTCACTTACCAGTGGCTCAATTACATGTTGCCATCGGCTGGGGGGGGACAAAATTGGCACTTGTCTGCAGGATGAATGCTTCAAGTCTAAGACAAATGCTTCGTAGTGTAAGATTAAACCGATGTCATCTTACAACTCTCTTCCTGTATCCAAGATAGAACTAGATCTGCCAAGGAACATGAAGCTTCTGCTAAAAAGGGCAAGTCCCCCTTCTTTCTCATTCACAACGTAGTCATGGAACTGTAGAACACAACTCTGCTTGCTGTTCCATCGCGCTCCATGTATGATACAAAGGTCAGAAGTGGGGAGTCTGCTGTCCACACCTCTGCCCTCTACGTGATTTAGATAGCTGCACAATGAGGGTCCCTGGAGGGAGGTCCCACTCTTCCCTCACGACATGATTCTGATCACCTGAGAGATTTAGCTCTGTTATAATGTTATAATGCTCTGCTATAACGCATTTTCCTTCTCCCATTCCAAATCAGTGCCATTGTCTGTATGGGATGGAATGTGCAATGTGATCACAGTGTGATATGTTTCATTACTAAACTGTACAGGTGTCACTTGAGTTCTGTGATGGAAGTAAGGGGATATAAATGTAAGAAAATAAATAAAGAGATGTTGCTGGGCAGAAGGGAGAACTTAGTTTTACTGGGTTGGGCAGAAAGTTCCGTGTTCTTCATTCTAGCTAATTCTGTCTTCATGTGCTTTAAGTTCGTCTTCATTTATCCCCTAATATGGCATTCGTACTCATGAGTTTGTGAATACCTTTCTCTAGAATGTTAGAGGAATTAATTAACACAACTGTTATCCTTGAACCAGCTCTTGCTACCTCACAGAAAAGCAAGCAGCAATATGAATTGAAAATCCTTTCAAAGTTGCACAGTGGTATCTGTTGAATGTTAATCTCTGGTGATTTTTTTTTTCAGGGTTTCCATTAAAAAAATGATAAAAATGTTAACTATAAGGCAGAAAAAGCCTAATTCACTGATAACCAACAGCAGCTCCACATGTTGTGCATTGGTACACTTAGGTTTCTTCAGCAAATATGTAAACGTGTTAACAACAGATATCTATACTTAAACACCTGTCTCTGTATATCTGAATTGTGAAGCACCTCTGTACCCTGTTCCTAATGGATAATCTGATTATCTGATTGCAATCCCTGGATTATGTCTTGGTCTCTGACGGTGCAGTAGGACACCCTGCTAATTTTCACTGAGGTGGCTAAAGCTGAATCAGAGCTGTTCCATTTTAGGCAGCATATGGCTCACACAGTCCCACCATATATAGAAATTAGGTGCCAGGGAAAAGGGTTCTAGACTAGCCTTCTCCATGACATGCTAATGTTTTCCCCATGTAGGAAAAAACTGCAGAGGAGCATTTGCCCATGAATGCACAGTGGTATAGCCCAGATACTACTTTACCTCCTCACTAACAACAAGGCCTAGGATCAGGTAGCTGGCCATTTTGCCTTCTTTTAAACCTTATTTTTTGTAGAGTGCTCACTTACATTTTATGAATGCATAGCACATAGATATTTCCTGTAGTCTTTTAAGCATTATCCAGACCATGCTGGCTGCCGAGAATGAAACAAACCATGGATAGCACCATGCTTCAAAGCTGGTGTTGGGCACTCTGGAGCCTTGGGCTCACCGAGTCCCCTGTGCTCATGCCCTGGGGGAGGAACAAGATGACTCAATTGGCATGTGGGAGGTGTATGTGAGTCCCCCATGGCAGGTAGTGATGCCAATGGGGGGCCGGGACAAAAGGAAAACAGCTCCACTTAGCATGGGAGTGGATGGAATTATACCCCACATAGGGCAGGGCAGATTGCTGCATAGACAACACAAAGCAATACTGTTCTTAAGTTAAGAAAACCAGTTATTTCGAGGGAAATCATTGGATTATACTCTTAATGAATACTAATTGTCCTGTAACTGTTGGGCAAAAGGGATGCTGACTGACTTTATTTTAAAACTACGTTTTTGGTGGGTGGGTATGCATCTGGCGGGTGGGTATGCCTTTCCTCAAAAAGAAAACAACTGTTGCTTTGATTATTTAACTACACACTTTTAGCATGTTTTTAAATAAAATTTCATATTGAGCAAAAACATTTTAAGCATATACAACTGTTGATTTGCATTTATATTAAAGGTTGAAGCAAAGCTTCTCGTTTTGTTCATTTTTAATAACCATGTTCAGAGTTTTAATATGTGTTTTCCTTTGCCTTTTATACATATATAAATTTGTGACACTCCTCAGCTACTGCAAAGAGTTTGTGGTTCTGGCTGTGGCTTATGTGTGGCTAACAGGAAGCAGTTATGTATCTGGCATAAGGACTTGCCCTGTGGTTGGTCTAACTTGGGGCACACATACCCAAAAGGCTGGGCACCACTTTGGGCAATTTTGCCTTTCTGATACATGTATCATATTGTTATGTGAAGGAACAGAGCTACTAAAAGCTACTGCTTTTAGAGGTCTATGCATATGAATGTGTCTAATTCTACTGAGAATTCTTTTGAGTACACTTGAAGGACACAATGACAAAATATGGACAGCCTGAGAGATTGGCATTTACAGTATTTATCTATTTCATAAAATGTATATGCCACTTGACTTCAGGGGGGGGGGGAACCAAAACGGTTTACAAAAAGATTTTTTTTTTTTTTTAATTTTATGAAGAAAGTTACAACCATAGTTTAAACCATACAGAAAGTTCAGGCAATAGAAAAGACTAAAACAAATCAGAACTCATACAAACTTCCTAAACACCTGAATAAAGTAAAGGTACCCCTGCCTGTACGGGCCAGTCTTGACAGACTCTAGGGTTGTGCGCCCATCTCACTCAAGAGGCCGGGGGCCAGCGCTGTCCGGAGGACACTTCCGGGTCACGTGGCCAGCGTGACATTGCTGCTCTGGCGAGCCAGAGCCGCACACCGGAAACGCCGTTTACCTTCCCGCCAGTAAGCGGTCCCTATTTATCTACTTGCACCCGGGGGTGCTTTCGAACTGCTAGGTTGGCAGGCGCTGGGACCGAGCAGCGGGAGCGCACCCCGCCGCGGGGATTCAAACCGCCGACCTTTCGATCAGGGTCGGCAAGCCCTAGGCGCTGAGGCTTTTTACCCACAGCGCCACCCGTGCCCCTCAAACACCTGAATAGGCTTGTCTAAATAGCAGTGTATTTAGCAGGCACTGAAAAGAATACAGGGAAGGTGCCTGCCTGGCGTCAATAGGCAGGGAGTTCCAAAGTGTTGGTGCTGCCACATAAAAAGATCTAGTCATTACAGATAGTGTGGGTATTATGGGGCACCTGTAAAAATGCCAGTTCTGATGATTGAAGCAGTCGAATGGGCATCAGGAACCTATGAGAAGGTGGGACTTTGGGGGGCCTCAAAAAGCTATTGGAATCCCAGTTATTCCAACAGGGACGCCACATGAGAAGCAAACAAAGACAATTTTCAAAAATAGATTGTTTGAAAAACAAATGTTTTCAAACTTTTAAATGGCAAGACCACAAGGCCCTTGCAACCTTTCGGAATATCTAAGTATTCAGTGTAAGCAGAAGAAAAGAAAAGAAAAAGAAAAAGGAAAAGATTTTATTTTAATACCCTGCCCAGCATGGCTGGACTTCCCCAGCTATGCTGGGCGGCTTCCAGCACATATAAAAACATAATAAAACATCAAACATTAAAAAACTTCCTGATGCAAGGCTGCCTTCAGATGTCTTCTAAAAGTTGTGCTGTTCTTTATCTCCTTGACATCTGATGGGAGGGTGTTCCACAGGAAGGGTGCCACTACCTAGAAGGCCCTCTGCCTGGTTCTTAATTCAATTAAAAACTGAATATGAAATGATGGGGAATTTGCTCTTTCTGTGTGTCTTGTCTTTTGAAGTTTGATAGTGTTACCTTCAGCTACAGTTAGCAATGGTCCAAAGCCACACATAACGTGAGGGTCAAGGAAGTTCTCCTAAGTGCGGGCCTTTGAGTGGCATATGTGTCTAGGTATGCTGGTTGACCAAAACGAAATCCTGGAGTCTTTGAATGGTGGCATCTTCATGGTGGGGCCTTCAAATAAGTCGAAGTATGGCTAAAACTGAGCAGAATAAAGGCGTGGTCTGTGATATGAGCAATGGCTAGGTTCAGGCTGCATAACAGAAGTCTAGTGTCCAGATAAGGGGAAGTAATAGTTCCACGGCGTATTTCGTGCTTGGTCAGACCACACCGGAATACTGCACCAGTTTTGGGTGGCCAGATGTAAAAGGAAGTTGAGCAGCTGGGTGGTGGCAGAGGAGGAGTCTAGAAGGAAAGCCTGATGAGGAATGGTTGAAGGAGTTGGGCTAGTATAAAGATGTTCATGGGTGTTGGAATGCGCAACAGTGGTGTTAATGGATTTTGTGTAAACTAGATCAGCGGTTGTTAGTTGTGATTTATTCGTTGCATCGCCGGGGTGTGGTATGAACTGTGGGTGAGATGTTCTTCATTGCAAGGGTTGGACTAGTTGCGCCCTCAGGCAATGACTACTTAGTCACCACCCTTCGGTGATTTGAGAGGATGATGGAAAAGTGTGCATTGGGAGTAAAGTAAGACGTTGGGAGTAGTTGATTTGCTATGGGAGATACCACTAAAGGTGTGTGTGGCAGGGGTTCTGCAGTATGCTTCATGGGGAGCCATTTGTGCATCCTGGCTTGCAAGGAAGCCGAACTCCGCAGTTCTGACTGAGAGGCGTGCGTTGCCAGTGATAACGGAAGATACTCTGCACATCTTAAGATATTGCTAAAACTTGTATAGTGGAGAGGTGGGGTAA